GAAGAAAATGTGGGTTTCTGAAACTGGCTGGGCAACCAGCTAATGAGAAGACCAAAGTCCAGAGAGGGAGAGATAGTAGCCCAAGGCCACAGGGCCAACCACACAGAGCTGGGCTGGGAGGCCCCTGCCGGGTGCTTGCACTGTTGGAACCATCCAGCAGCTGTAGCTGCTTTGTCTGCTGCTCAGCACTGTGCCTGGGGCTGGACAGGCCATCTGCACTTCTCATCTGGCCCTTCAATTATACACTAGCTTATCCTGATCAGCACTGCTTCTCTGTGTGAACTGCATCACCCCCTAGGAGATTATAACCACCTTGAGGCTTGCAGCCTAGGCCCCATTTCCCACAATGCCCAGCATCATGCTTAGTAAGGTTGTTTGTTTCATAAATATAAGTTAGACTCGAATGAGCTTCAGAGTTGGTAACATGAGGCATAAATACTGTTGTTTGACAGATAGGAAAACTGAGGCTTCAAGAAGACATGTGCTTGGCAAGGGTCACTAAGTGAGTCAGTGGTAGGGGTACAGACTTCAATACGTATCTCCTAACTCTGGGTCCACTGTCCTTCCGAGTGTCATCTCTGGTTAATAAAGGTGAAATTCTGCCCAGTGGGAACCTATCATATCCAGCTACTTCATTAGTTAATCCTGTGGGGTACAGTCAGAATTGTCATACCCCAAACAAGTGATGGATTGAATGATTATTTATTTGACCATAACCAGACCTCTGTGCTTGATAAATAGGCTCCTTTAGGCAGCAGGATCATGCAGGATAGGAGATCAGATTCATTACACAAAGCATTCTAAGATTTCACTCAAGTGTCCTGGACCAGTCCTACAAGTGAGGGCCACCTATATGATGTGGGGGTTTTAGGGTAGGGGTGAGCAAACTGTGAGCGACAGGTGAAATCTGGACCAGCATCTGATTTTTGACATAAAACTCCTTAGGACACATGTATATTCATTCATTTATGTGTTATCTTTGGAAGCTTTCAAAGTACCAGAGCAGAGTTGAATAGTTTCAAAAGTAACTGCATGGCCTGCAAGATGAAAAGGTTTATGAATTGGCCATTGATATTAAAAAGGTTGCTGACTCTTGATTCAGGAAATCTCACCAGACACACACACATCTTGGTCTCTCAGTCCCTATTCCTCAGGTTCTTTGTCCCTCTTCCTGTCTGCCCACTCACCATATTGATTACTACTGTTCTCTGCTTATGGGTTCCACCTGGTTCTCCCAGACGCCTTTGAATGACAGTCCCAGGGCCCTTACAAAAAACCAGAGCCTCAAGGAAGCCAGGGTGGAATCTCAGACTATCATAAATCTCCTTTCCAGTCGCTCCTAGTGCCAAAAATGAAATTTCAGTTGACTTAATTTTGGGTTCAGGATGTTTCCAAGACAAGGGGAATTTTGGGAGAAAGGAAAAAAATTCAGAGTCCTGGAACCTCCCATCTCTGGACTTGCACTCTGGGAGACAGGTGTCAACAGCTCTATTTTACATGGAAGGCGATGTCGCTCACCCATGGCCACACCAAGGGGATGAGGTAAAGGCAGGATTCACAGCCAGGTGTAGCTGACTCAAGCACCTTCTACATCGACATGCTAGAGAGAGACTAGGTAGGAAAACCCCATTAGATGTTCCCTCTCTCCTCCCATCCCATGCCTTCTCTCGACCATTAGCTCTAGGTGTATCCTTCTCTGCTGGGGAACCTCCTGAACTTGTCACATCCCTTCAGATTGCACACACTCCAACCATGCTCAAAGAATCACGCAGAGTGGGTTTTCAACCTCAGGAGTTAGGCCCTCCTCCCCACTACCTGGCATGTCCTTCCCTGGAGGCCTTGAAGTACAAGAGCTGGGCAGCGCTGAGGCCTCAGTCCTGCTCACCAGGGGCAGACCCTTTTCTTGCACGTGGAAATGGAGTGAGCAAAGACAAGAGAGGCTGACAGAAAAGCAGCATCCGCCCTGGGCACTTATAATAATCCAGACACCAGGCCAAAAATTTCTTTCATTCATTCGTTAGTCGTTCATCCAAATATATTAAGCCGGTGCCCACCCCGGACCCATCCCCGTGTTAGGTGCTGGGGATGGGAAGGTAAGTACAGATGGCAATGTGCCTCTCCTTGGGGTGCTTCCAGCTCCGTGGAGGATACAGACATCACCCAGAGAACACACTGGTAAATAGAATATTAGAGTGGGGATGAAGTCTGCAGGGTAAGCATGCAGGAGCTACCACATAAGGAAACAGCAATCAGGCATGGGATGACACAGCGGAAGGCATACCATTTAAGTCGAGATGTCACAGTGAGTCCAAGGGTGGCGCGGGGGGTGGCTGTTCCAGGAAAGTTCTGGTGGGACAGATGTGGGAGTGCTGGAGAAGAGGCCTGGGTGGCAGGAGGACACAGAGCCCCGGGTAAATGGGCGGCCAACCACTCAACACATTCATCCGAAACGCAGAAGGAAGGACTGAAGGCTTCTTAGCCAGAGAAGCAACATGATACCTACTTACATTTTCAAAAATGATCATTCTGGCTGCAGGGTTGAGAAGGGACTGGAAGACACTAAGTGACATGGTTGAGAAGGGATTTTAGCTGTTTTCAAGCAAAGGATGGAGGTGATACCAACTGGGATGAAGGTGATAAAGAGGGGAGAGCTTGCTGCTGGGGGTTGTAGTTATAAAGATGTTCAGGCTCCTATTTAATCCTCACACTTACCCCAAGAGGGCGCTATCACTACCTCATTTCAAACCAAGAATACCAGTGGCGGTTCAGTCGGTTTAGCCTCAGAGTCTTGATTTCAGCTCAGGTCATGATCCCGGGGTCCTGGGAAGGGAGGGAGGAAAGGAGGAATAGAGATAAGAAGTGCGGGATAGAGGAAAGGGGGAAGAAAGAAGGAAGGAAGAATCCCCCAGGAAACAGCTGGAGAAGAGAGGGGAGAGAGTGGTGGGGAAAGGGGCAAGAGAGGAAGAGATAATAAGGAGAGAAGAAGAAACAGAGAAAATAGAAGAGAACAAAGGAAAGACGGAGGGATGAAGAGAAGGAAGCCTGGAGACACGACGGAGGGAAGAAGAGAGGAAAAGGGGAGAACAAGAAAAGAGAAACAGAAATTAAACAAGCAGGCAAGCAAGCCAGCCCAGGACACTGAGAAGGAAGAGGAAGAAACAGTGGGAGCCAGAGGCAGAGGGAGAAGGGCTCGCCATCTGTGGACACTTGGAGGGACAGAGTGGCAGCTGTCTGCTGGCAGGAGAGGCCAGGAAGGAAGGTAGGAGAGGATGCACCCCAGCCGTGTCCTCCCCACCCTGGCCTTCCGCAGTACATGGAGGCATTGGGCCAAACTGTTTATCTCCAATCCGGTGGCTCACATTTGCTTTTATTTTTAAAGTTTAACTCCGATTTACAAGGGGAGTGCTCTGTGATGGATGTTTTTCCAGTTAGTTGTAAACAGCAGAGGAGACCTGCAGTTTACCAGTCCTGCAGAGGAGACCCACCGACTTCCCCAGCCCTCGTTCTGGCTGCTGGACTGGGGGAGGGAGAAGACGGGTCAAGAATATCATCCATCACCAACTCCAAAATCCTCAACACAGCAAGATACCAGTGAGCCAAGGCTCGGGAAGGGGTGAGAGGCAGGACTGATTATTCCAAGGCTGAGAAACCTTCCAAGCTGATGTGTCAGAAGAGATACTCCCCACACAGGGCCTGTTCAATGAAAGGTGCCAGGGTACGGGACATAAGGAAACCAACAATGAGGGCTGAACTCACATTACTAATGTCTACCTTAGCAGGTGCCATGACAAATTTTTTCTGTAACTTAACCAAAATTCATCTCTAGGTCAATGAAGGCCATTTCACAGATGAGAAAACTGAGGTGTAGGGAAGGTAGATACCTGCCTAAGAGCAAAATTTGCCCAGAGAAGCTACATGACCCATGATCTTTGAATGTCCACCATGCATGCGTGGAATGCACGCAAACTGTTTCACGACGGAGATTCTTTCCCTCTTCCCTACCCTGGGTCCTTCTTCAGCCCACTTTGGTGCAGAGGTGAGAGGGCCACATGCCTTGATTAGTTGCCAGAGGACCCTTGCTTCTTCCTGGGCCTGGTCCAAGCCCCTGGATCGCTCCTTAATCACAAGCATGGATTACAGGCCTATGCCCCTCTGTTCTCTTCCAAGATTGCAACCTTGAACTTGCTATTTCCCCATCATTAGAAAACACTCAGGGATGAGGAATTACATTCCCGGGTGAAATACGCTCTATTCTCCCCTCAGGAGTATGTGTAACCATCAAAGAACAGTGGACCTCAGCACCAGGTTGTCGCCCTTTCTGGAGTGCCGCTTCTGCATCTGACGTCTCCTTACCTTTAGTGTCACTGAGAGAAATAATGATGCATCGATACGATTTCATCTGTTGAAGACACAGTCCAGATAGTCAAAAGGAGTCCTCTTTATAGGAACCAACTACAGAACTTTCTCTCTGGTCCTGGATGTCAGGTAAAGAGAATTTCCTGAACAAATGGTTCTAGCCCATAGACCCTGCACATTTTATTGCTGAGTATGTTTCCTTCTGGACTTTGATTGCTAAATCTCTACATTAAATTGCCAGCTCCTTCTAAGAACTACACAACACAGGATGGCATAGATCACCTTGCATCGATCTAACCTGGGTTTGAATCATTTTCTTTATTCTTATTTTGCTTTCAATCTGATCCCTTCGTTATTTCATTTCCTGTGCTGGATTTTTTTTTTTTTAACAGCACGAACTTAAAAAAAAAATTCCTCCCCAAATCCTTTGGGGAATGACGTAGGACAGAGAGCAAATAAAGAAGCTATACAAGGACCATCACTGGTGTAGCCAGGGTTTCGGATGCCAGGCTGCATTAACCAGATCAGGACAAGGTTGAAGAAAAGCTGAGGTTTGTGCCTGAGCACAAAGTCTGCTTCCCAGGCATACGTCCTGCACACGCTAGTTCTGGAACCTTCCGGAACCTTCCCAAGGACTCCCTTACCTTTGCTGCGGCGGCGACTCCGGTACTGCTCCGTGTAGAACGTCAGCTGTGTTTCGTCATCTGCCTCTGAACCTGAAGTCCCCTTGGTTCTCCCAAAGCTGATTCCCCCTGAAAGGAACAACAATCCATTAGTCATAGAGGCCTCCTGGAGCTTGTTAAATCCCTCATCCAACCCAAAGATCAGCAACCCCATCGCCAGACTTCTTTCTGTAAAATCCCAAGTGACCCAGAAGCTGGCATGATTTATGGAAGGAGTTTGGGCTCTGCAGCGAGGCAGATCTGGGTTCTAACCATGACGTGGTAGCCACGAGCTGTGTGACCTTGAGGGACACCTCCCCTCTGAGCCCTGGGTTGTTTCTTAACCAAACGGGATAGTTACTACTGACCTTGTAGGGTTGCTTTGAAGATTAAAGGAGATATAATATATAAAATATCTGGTCTGTGGTGGGTACTAACTGACAGCTATGTTTTTGCTTCATATGATGAGCCTGCCTTTAAAAAAACACTTCGGGTAACTTAATTTCATACACATTTCAAGCAAGTGCTTACTAGATGCCAGACCAAGAGTGAGACACTGGAGATCCAAAGATAGATACGGCCCAGTCCGTGCCAGCCAGGGGATCGTAAGCTAGTCAACGAGATAAATGGGATCCTAAGGAGCCTTTAACCTAATTCATGGTTATGTTTTTCCACACAATGAGATGCTGAGAACATGGGGGAGAGCAATCCATCCCCACACGGAGGACCTGGGAAGGTTTTATGGAGGAAGGGGGATTTTAAGTCAGGGCTGAAAGGATGAATGGGGCTTCAGTGGCAGAAAATGGAGTTGCAGGTAAAGGGAAGAGCCTGAGCATCCCTGGGGACAGGAAGCGGGGCGGGCGGAGGCCATGCTGATCGGAGTACTGACTGGAAGGATCACTGGAGCCACACGGTGGAAGTCCCTGAGGGCCACACGGAGGACCAGGGGCCTTCCTATGGGCGTCACGGAAGGTTCCGGGGCAAGAGGAGGAGTTCAGCAGCTGCACATGCCACGACAGATACCACAGAGGCCTCAGAGTGGGTGCCGCAGAGGGCAAGCAGGTGCAAGGCTCAGTGATCCCTTGGCGAGAGGCGACGAGGGTCTGGGTGAGGCAGGGGACATTGAGGATACAGAGGAAGAGAGGGGAGCAAGGGCTGTTTAGGGACACACTCAGGAACAGGAAGGCCGGTGGGCGAGGCATTCACACACTACGAACAGTGGATTCCAAAAGTGATAAAGAACCAGAGGGATATACGCCAAAATACTAGGAGCAGTTAATTGTGCAGGGAGGAATACAGATAATTTTTATTTTCTCTGTGCTATATACACACACACACACACACACACACACACACACACACACACACATATGTAATCACTAACAAAAAAGCACAGAGTGTGTGAAAAGAGGGATTAAAGTATTAGTAAACTCTGTGCCCAGAGAGGATACAGTCAGGGGAGAGCTGCAGAGAGTGTTGGGGGCACAGGGGCGGGCAGGGGAGCAAAGGGCCTTTGTTTGGGGAAACTGCCTCAGGTACAGAAGCTTCAGACACTAACATCGATAGACTGTCTCTGGAGGAGACTCAAAAACCTAGTAGAAGTGGCTGTCCTGGATGGAGAAGAGGGTGAAGGTTAGGGATAGTGGGAGACCACTTTTCACTACAAATATTTTGTAACTTTTGAGTCAAGTGCCCTACAAACAAACCTATTACCTGTTTGAATATCTTACGCGAGGAACAGAAAAACATACATCAGAGGGAAACATTGCTCAACTCAAGACAGAGTTTCCTATGTCATTTCCTCTATAGGGCATCTGAAATGGCATTCGGTATATGGAAACCCTGCTTGAGACACTCTACATACAATATGGTTACTGTGCATGCATTCATCCATTCCAGCAACATGCGGAATGATCTGCTTTGTGCCTAGATGTCTGTATGTTACTGCCTACAATCCTCATCATGAAATTCTCACAAGGAAAGTGTAATTAACAAAATAGATCATGAAAGGCACAAGGACCTGTGTGGGCAAAGTTACTTAGGTGCCAGAGGTCACACAGCTGATGAGTATGAGGATTCAGATTCAAGGCTCGTCTGTCTGGCTCCACATGTGAGCTTTCTAGATGCAAACTGCTTTCCTGGAAACTCAAGAGGGAACCTTAGGGAAGGCAGACGGTCCTTAAAGCATCAAGGCACCAAGTACTGTGGTAGGAGCTTCACATACGCCTTCCTATTCCAAACTCACAGCACTCCTTGGAGGGAGGTATATTGATATCAGCCCATTTTACAGATGAGGCAACCAAGGTTCAGAAGACAAAAGTGATTTGCTAGTAATGAGTGAAGTAGGACTTGGTACCCACGTGTAACCGAGGCCAAGTTCAAATTTACAGCCATTTGTGACACGCCCTTCCCGAATTAATGCTTTGGAAAATGGAAAGATTAATACCTGCCCTCTGCCTCCCCTGAGACAGCATGTTGTAATGGATGGGAAAAGTATAGGCGACAACAATGTCTGATCTCTGTCCTCAAATGTATCTTTGGCCTTGTCCCTGTCTCTTAGTGTAAACATCACCATTTTCCCAGCAATTAAGGATAGGGCCTGGAGACAGCAGGAGACCCCAGATTGTGCTAGACACAGTCCCTCACTTAAAGGCTCTCCTTTGAAAAGGAGATGGCATGGCCCTGTGGACACTCTGGAAGCAGTGGAAGAGCAGAGGTGTCCAAAAGTCAGTTTTTACATTGCCACGGAAATATTTTCCTGTTACAGCAAAAGGGAAGAGGGAAAAAGGGAGGGAGGGGAAAAAAAGGGAAGGAAGGAAGGAAGGAAGGAAGGAAGGAAGGAAGGAAGGAAGGAAAGAAAGAAAGAAGGAAAGAAAGGAAAGGAAAGGAAAAGGAAAGGGGAAAGGAAAGGAAGGCTTTTGGTCATCTACACATAATTCTTGGCCAACAGGAAAATGAAGGCATGGGATAAAATAGTTGCTTTATGTGCAGGAAGCATCTGTCATACTTCCTGCTGTGTCTGGGGCAGCAGAAAAAAAGGGAGGAGTCTGTCCTGTCAGGAATCTACCTCCATATTTCCTTCAATTCTCTACCTTACCCCCTACTTAAAGCTTTACAGCCAAATCCTCCCTCCCTCCCTTCTTCTCTCTCTCTCATTTTCCTCTCTTATTTTCCTTCCTCTCCCAAACAAATGACCTATTATGTTCCTGCCATGGTGACCATGACAGACAGGAGTCGGTTCTTTCTCTATTGGGACAGTCTAGCAGGTGTGAGAGAGAGTCGCCAGACAATTCTAATACAATAATAATAATAATAATAATAATAAGCTAACTATTACATAGCACTGTCTCTGCCAAGCATTGTTTTAACCCTTTACCTGTACCGATAACTCTAGGAGGTAGGTTGCTACTTTTATTCCCTTTTTAATGGATGAGGAAATGAAGGCACAAGGGAAGTAAGTAATTGGCCCAGGGTCACACAGCTTGTCAGTAGCAGAACCACAATGCAAATCCAGGCAGTGACTGCAAAGTCTATTCCTTTAGTCTCTATGCCAGCATACAATAAAATATGAGCAGATAGCTCATGTAACGTCCACTGCCATACCTGTAAGGAAGGCATTATGAACCTTGTCTTACTGGTGAATGAACCATGTTTCAGAGAGCTGATGGCAGATAGTAAGTGAGGGAGCTGAGACTGAATCAGGTCTGTCTACCGGCAAAGCTGGCCTCATGGCTAAAATAACCTGGGAAACTATGCTCGTGTGTGTGTGTGTGTGTGTGTGTGTGTGTGTGTGTGTGCGCACGTGCGCGCGCACGTGTGTGTGCGCCTGCGGGAGTGTGCATGTGTGTGTACCCAGAGGCAGAGAAGTGGCAAAGCTTGACGATTTGACCTGAGAAGGTTAGCAGGTGTGTTACCTCCCCCAACGGCAGGGAGCATTTGCTGCTTCTCTCCACTCCTCTCCAACGGACCACTGAACTTGTGCTCTTGGTAGGACTCCATTCAGGCTTCGCTAGATCCTAGTGATGCTCCACCGTTCCACATGCCCAAGCACATGGAGATCACACCCCTGACTACCACGAAGTCTTCTCCAGTCCCTCCCCACTCCCACACCTCTGACCTCACCTCCTTCCTGTAGGTACCAAGCTACCATTCCCAAAGTAGAAGCTGAAGATCAGAGAGGTTTTCTCTCCACCAACCTGTCCAACAGAAATATAATGTAAGGTGCATATGTCATTTTGAGTGTCCTAGCAGCCATTTTAGAAAGGGAAAAACAAACAGGTTAAATTCACTTTCAGAATATGTTGTGTTTAATGCAGTATGTTAAAAAATCTTGTGATTTTAATATGTAATTAACATAAGATTATTACTGACATATTTTATATATTTTTTCATGACAAGTTTTAATAATCCAGTGTCTATTTTATGCTTACAGCATATCTCAATACAGACTAGCTGCATTTTAAGTGCCCACTATATCAGAGTGCACACTTCTGGAGGCATTAGAAAACAGATATTACTAAGCATAATTAAGGGCCAGGATCCGAGTACAAGAGAGAGATGAGTAAGTCACAGACCCCACTAAGGTGTTGAACCTTTTTTTTATTTTAATGTGAATTGAATGAAAAATGGTGTAGCTCAGGTCCCATTAAAAGACAATAACCATTGTCTGTGCCCTCAAGCACTTAGAGTCTAGTAGGCTTCTACACTGGTTTCAACCATGAGCCAGGAGAGGTAATGGACTTTTGTAGAAAGACACCAGGGTACTGGCATCAGGCAGGAGGTCTGATCTGAGGTCTTACTTATTAGCTGTGTGAGCTTGGGCAAGGAACCTAACCTCTCTGAATTCATCTTTGAAAGGGGGGGATATTAAACTCTCAGCTCACAGGGTCATTATGAGGGAAATGACATAATGTATGTAAACAGCATAAAGACCAAAGAAGTGAGGGGGAGGGCACATTCCTCATTTATTCAATACTTGCCTGAGTTTAACAGAAGAACAGGAAGTGCCACTGGGTGGGAGTACTAACTCCCTGTCTATTGTGATATCCTATGGAGGTGGCAGACACCCAAGTCATATAGCTTCTGAGTGT